TGTGAATAGGGAACTTGGGGGAGGGCTCATTGCAATGTCTTGATGAGTGAGTCTTAGGTTTACACTGGCTCTCCTCCTCCTCCTCCAATGAAAACGAGCTCTTGTAGGGACCCGTGAATAGGGAACTTGGGGGAGGGCTCATTGCAATGTCTTGATGAGTGAGTCTTAGGTTTACACTGGCTCTCCTCCTCCTCCTCGCACACTTCCTCCCCCGCTCCCGCGGCCCTAGCGGAGCCGATCCCTGGGTGCGCCGTCATCCACGTTCCCGCAGCTATGCCCGCGGCCGCATCGGGGCAGCGACCTCGTCCCCCCACCAAGGCGACTGCCCGCTCGCCTCTGGATATCGCCCCTGGGGCCATCGGAGGCCTATCGCCTATCTATCGGCAATGTATCGCCGATTCCAAGTCGATGTTTATCCCCTTACGCCAGTCACCCCTTATCGAGCAGATGGGGTCGGAGGATCGCGCAGCACAGACAGCCCGATAGCCTTGGAAGGCCACTTCGGAGCTTTCCGAGCGGGGTGCGGCCAACGCAAGTGGCCAAGGATGGACCGATGAGGCAAGGATGCATGCAAGGGTACCCTTGGGAAGGTTGCCCATCCTTACCATGCGGTTTGACTGTACCGCGGATCCCGCGGCTGGTGCCTGAGCTCCCAGCACCAGGCGGCACCGTGGCGGCGCGACATGGCTCCAATGAGCTCACTAAAAGCAATCATGCTGCATGAGGGCAAGCCAAAATTGAGGGCAACAATTGCTGAAGGTAAAGGTTGTCTTGAACGCACGACCTTCTGCCTTCCATGATCGGGGGCGGCAAAGAGGGGGGTGTCCAAGAGGGGGGGGTGCAAATCATGACCGGCGGCATGTGCGCAGCCCAGCGTGGAGGCCAGTGACGTAATGAAATAAGAAGAGGCGCCATGAGATCTGGGGAAATATCATGGCCCCCGCCATGATATCCCCCCCCCATAGTCATCACCCCCCTCTTCTCCGCCCCCGAAAAATTGAGGGCAACAATTGCTGAAGGTAGAGGTTCTCTTGAAAGCACGACCTCCTGCCTTCCATGAGCCCCCCTTCCACCACTGGCCATCGCTCGGACGTCCATTCCCTGTGTTTTTTTCGGTTTCGTGCGTGGCTTTTTCGCCAAATGATCAAGGATGCTCCTCGATGGCCCTCGCCGAAGGAAAAATGCACACGTCCGAGCGATGCCAAGACAATCGCTGGCAACAATTGCTGAAGGTAAAGGTTGTCTCGCAAGCACGACCTTCTGCCTTCCGTGAGAGCCCCCCTTCCACCACCCGGGCCGACTCCGAGGCGTGACCTGGCGCGGCCCGCGCGCCAGGCACGCCTGATGTACGCCAGCCCTGCCCGGGATCCCTGGAGCGAGGCGAGGAGGAGGAGGAGGAGGCGGAGGAGGCGAAGGAGGAGGAGGAGGAGGAGGAGCGAGGAGGAGGAGGAGGAGGAGGGAGGAGGAGGAGGAGGAGGAGGAGGAGCGAGGGAGGAGGAGAGGAGGAGGAGGAGGAGGAGGAGGAGGAGGAGCGAGGAAGGAGAAGGAGGAGGAGGGGGCGGAGGAGTAGGAGAGGGGGAGGAGGAGGGGAGGAGGAGGAGGAGGAGGAGGAGGAGGAGGAGGAGGAGGAGGTAGATGAGATGGGAACGCAGGGGAGAGGAGGACAGGCATCTACTATCCAGGTCGCCGAGCTTCGCGCATCGCGCCGCGCGCTGCGCGACGCGCGGCTCGCCTTCGCGCCCTCGCGCCGCCGCCGCGAGGGGGGGGGGGGGGCAGCCCCGAGGCCGCGCAGCGACGAGCGAGTGCCTTCGCGCCCGCGTGGGCGGCCCAGGAGCCGTCGCGCTGCGGCCAGGGCGCCCTCGCAGGAGGGGCGGGGCTCCCCGCTCAGCCCTGCCTCGCCCCTCCCTCCCCCCTCGCTTCGCCCCTCCCTCCACAATTACTCAATATGAAAATATTCTCCCTCTTCCCCTGATGGCGTCCGGGTGATGGCCGCGCACCCTCCGCGTACTGTTTTTTACACACAGGATCCCCGGGAAATCCCTGGAAACGACTCTCGCTGAAGCGCCGGCGTCATTTTTCCCAAAATGCTGCTCTCGTTGAGGCGCCGGCCTCATTTCTGCTCCCGAATCGTTCCGAATCGTGCTCCCGCTGCAGCGTGGGCCTCATTTTCGGATCGGTGTTTGGCCTCCGTCGTTCAGGATGGCGTTCTCGCCCCAGCGCGGGCCTTTTTCTCGCGCGCCCATCCGCCCGCCACCACCGCGCCGCACCGCCACCACCACCACCACCACCACCACCACCACCACCACCACCACCACCACCACCACCACCAACCACACCACCCACCACACCACACCACCAGCACCACCACCACCACCACCCACCACCACCACCACCACACACCACCACCACCACCACCACCACCACCACCACCACCACCACCACCACCACCACCACGACAACCACGCACACACGCACGCACGCACGCACGTGCACCACCACCCACTACGCACGCGCGCGCGGAGCCACAGGTCCGGTGCGACACGCGTCCGCGGATAGAGAAAATCAGCGCCATGGTAAGGGATGGGAGGCAGGGGTAGGACGTCAGATATGACGCGAGCGCACCTAGCTTGCCCTTCTCCTCCTCCTCCTCCTCCTCCTCCTCCTCCTCCTCCTCCTCCCCCTCCTCCTGGGGCCCGCCTCGGAGCCTCTCGGGGCTCTCTTGGGGCCGACTGGGGTTCCTCTTGGGCCGTCTTGGGGCCATCTTGGGCGGTCTGAGGGCCCTCTTGAACCGTATTCGTCCCCTTTGAGGGGCCTCTGGGGCCGTCTTGAGACGATCTTTGGGGCCTCTTGGGCCATCCTGGGCCCGTCTGGGGGCCCTCCTGGACTGTCGTGGGCCCCTTTGGGGCGCCTCTGGGGCGATCTTGGAACGAACCTTGGGGCCCTAGGCCGTCTGGGGCCCTTCTGGGACTGAAAAACGGAGAACCAGAAAAACCGGCAAAAACGTTAGACAAATCAATTTGTTTGGGCCATCTCGGGGGCCCTCTTCAGGGCCTCTGGAGCAGCCTCGAGACTCTCTTGGACAGCCTGAAGGCCATCTGAAACTCTCTTGAGGCCGTCTTTGGGCCCTCTGAAGCCGTTTTGGGGCCCTCTTGGGCCGTCTTGGGGCCCTCTGGCTGGTTCACCACAAAAATACAAAGAAACAAACCATGGGAGCCGCCCGGGAGCCGCTTCACTCGAAACATTCAAGGCAAACGGCCCCCCGGCGGCCATTTACCAGACAAATAAAAGAAACATGCAATGGGAGCCGCCCGGGAGCCGCTTCACTCGAAAAAATACAGAAAGGAGAACGGGCCAGTTGACCTTTCTCTTCGACCTTGCCCCCTCCCCCGTCACCTGGCTGGAAGAGGAGAGAAGGGGTGGGAGGGGCGGGAAGAGGAGAGAAGGGGTGAGACTCCGTGCGCACAGCGATTCAGCGATTCGCACGCTGCCAAAATTAGCCGCGGCCGTCAGGGCGCGAGATGACTCGACGCACGCCATGCGCGCGCGCCTGATGGCACTCCTTCGATGCCAAGGCGTGAAGCCTTGCAGCTGCGTTCCAGACGTCAGCGAGTTGCGACGCAAGCTCGTCAGATCCGACGGAGCATGCGATGCCGAGCTGGTCGGGGCTCTTTTGGAACTCTTTGGGACTTCTTGGGGAACTCGTAAAGCCTCCTGGGGGTCTCCTGCGGCGAAAATCTCGGGTTCTCGGTTCACGTCCCCGATCCTGGGCCGCGGTCGGGGCCCCCTCGGGCCGTCTTGGACGTCTCCTCGGCGCCTTTGAAGCCTATTGGGCCGTCTTGGGGTGCTTTGAAGCCTTTTGTTCGGTTCCTGTTCGGGGGTTCGTCCGGTAGAAGATCTGAAGTTCGTTCTGGAGTTCATGGGTTTCCTGTAGTTTCCGTCTTGTGGCGATCCTCGGAGCCTCACGGAGCGTTTTCCAGCGTCGGGAGGCGGAACATGCGGAAACGCCAAAATTGTTCAAGAACCTATGGAACATACACGTGTGTTGGCGTCTTCGAGCTCTATTGGGAGACCTCTTGGAAGCCTCTTGGGTATCTTGGGGGCCTCTTGGGCCGTCTGGAGGCCGTCTTGGGGCCTCTTGGAGCCTCTTTTGGGCTTCTTGGGGGCCTCTTGCGGCCTCTTGGGGGCCTTTTGGGGCTTCCTGGGGGCGTCCTGGGGGCCTCTTGGGGCATCTTGGCAGCATCTTGGGGGCCTCTGAGGCCGTCTTGGTGCCATCGTCGCCCCTCGTGGAGCGCTCTTGGGCCATTGCGACTGTAGCAGCAGAAGGACAGGAGATATTTTCCGCTTGAGCCAAAATGCGAACAACAGCACACAAAGACCACAATCCCTGGGCTGAACCCATCGTTGAAAACCAGGAGATCTCGCACAATGTGCATGTGCACGGATATCGGCGTTTCGACAGTGGGCAGAACGGGGGGGGGGGGAGGGTCGGGAGGGATCTGGCTCCAGACCTCGGCTGGTGAGCGTTTTCTTATTCGGCGTTTTGACATTGGGCGGAAGGAAGGCAGTGCGTCCCAGGGCGGTGGCCCGATCCTGTCGCCACAGGCGCCCAAAAACGGCCAGCCAAGATCCACTCAGTGAATCTACGCCATAGGGGGGGCGGGGCGCGAGGGCCCGCGCCGATCGGCAGAGCAAGCAAGCAAGAGACTGCGTGCACAAAAACGACACCACAACGACAGCGTCAGATGATCTCTCGTGCGCGGTGCAAATCGGAGGAGCTCGTACCTCGGTCTAGCCCAGGTTTGCGCGATCCCCCTAACATTCACAAAATGACGACTGATAGGCAATGTCCTCGTCAGGCCTCAAGCAAACGCGAAAAAAACACGGGCACCGACACATACTCCACCTGCTCCCCGGCGAGGAATTGGAGGAGGGGCGGGAAGAGGAGAGAAGGGGTGAGACTCCGTGCACACAGCGATTCAGCGATTCGCACGCTGCCAAAATTAGCCGCGGCCGTCAGGGCGCGAGATGACTCGACGCACGCCATGCGCGCGCGCGCCTGACGGCACTCCTTCGATGCCAAGGCGCGAGCCTTGCAGCTGCGTTCCAGACGTCAGCGAGTTGCGACGCAAGCTCGTCAGATCCGACGGCGCATGCGATGCCGAGCTGGTCGGGGCTCTTTTGGAACTCTTTGGGACTTCTTGGGGAACTCGTAAAGCCTCCTGGGGGTCTCCTGCGGCGAAGATCGCGGGTTCTCGGTTCACGTCCCCGATCCTGGGCCGCGGTCGGGGCCCCCTCGGGCCGTCTTGGACGTCTCCTCGGCGCCTTTGAAGCCTATTGGGCCGTCTTGGGGTGCTTTGAAGCCTTTTGTTCGGTTCCTGTTCGGGGGTTCGTCCGGTAGAAGATCTGAAATTCGTTCTGGAGTTCATGGGTTTCCTGTAGTTTCCGTCTTGTGGCGATCCTCGGAGCCTCACGGAGCGTTTTCCAGCGTCGGGAGGCGGAACATGCGGAAACGCCAAAATTGTTCAAGAACCTATGGAACATACACGTGTGTTGGCGTCTTCGAGCTCTATTGGGAGACCTCTTGGAAGCCTCTTGGGTATCTTGGGGACCCTTCGCAGGAAAGCACAGCTGCAGGAGGAGAGACATCAGCGGGCTCGTGGAGCGGACCAGAACGTTAACAGACATGTCCAGGAGCGAGAGGCTGAAGTTGTTGAGGGCTATGTTCAGGGTGAAACACACTGCGAGGGCCATCACCGCGAAGGCCTGGTCCTTGCTGACGATGGTGTGCGGCCTGTAGGCCCACGGCGTCAGCTGGGACACGAGGATCGCCAGCGCGAGGAAAAGGAAGCCCACGAGCTGCTGCATGGCCGTCAGCACTAGAAGCGCCTGGAAGCTCCGCATGTTGAGCTCCTGGTAGAGGAAAGAGAACTATGCACATACACCGATTCTGGCCAGGCCCATCCTGAGCCCAGGATCGGTGCATACGCCCTCCTACCTTGGCCAGGAATGTATATGCACCGATCTTGGATCAAGGATGGGCCTTCCCAGGATCGGTGCATGTGCATAGTTCTCTTCGCCCGATCCTGGGAGACCGTGTGGATGGACAGGATCGCCTTCATGTACGACAAGTTCATGAAGTTCTGGGCCCCGACGAACAGGAGCAGCTGCGCCAGGGTCTGGCATCTGGGCAAAATGACGAAGACGCCGCCGCCGAGCACCAGCGCCAACCAAGACACCCCGAGCTGCGTGCACAGATCCGCGGTTCCTATGCAGGCCGGCTCCTCGATCGCGGTGGTGCCAAAAAGCATTCCTCCGCTCTCCAGCACCTCGACGCTCACGTGCACCTTCGAACCATCGCCCACTATGAGGCGCCTGGTCTCTGGGCCTCCGGAGATGCCCGCCCTCCCCTTTGGGTCCATGACGGCAGAGCTGCCTGCCACGGCGAGCAGCCAGCAGCAGCGCGCGGCCGACATGGCTACTAAAACTCAAGGATGCAACATGGGACTCAACTTCGAATACTGTCGGCGGATGTGAGGCGCTGGTGTCAACCTTGAGCCAAAATGGCTACGGCGTTCAGGGCCCTCTCGGGCCGTCTTGGACGTCTCTGCGGCGCTTTTGAAGCCTATTGGGCCGTCTTGGGGCGATCCTCGGAGCCGCACGGAGCGTTCTGCAGCGTCGGGAAGCGGAACAGGCGGAAACGTCAAAATTGTTCAAAAACCCATGGAACATACATGTGTTTGGGCATCTTCGAGCTCAGTTGGGAGACCTCTTGGAAGCCTCTTGGGCATCTTGGGGGCCTCTTGGGCCGTCTGGAGGCCGTCTTGGGGCCTCTTGGAGCCTTTTGGGGGCTTCTTGGGAGCCTATTGGGGCCTCTTGGGGGCCTTCCTGGGGGCCTCTTGGGGCCTCTTGGGGGCATCTTGGGGCGGAGAGCTTGATTTTTCAGTTCGCGCTCCCTCCCTTGGGCCCCTCTTGGGGCCTTCGTGGGACCCTCTTGCGCAGTTTTGGGCGACTCTGGGGCCGTCTTGGGGCTCTCTTGGGCCGTCTCGGGGCCCTCTTGGGAGCCTCTTTGGCCGTCTTCGAGCGGTTTTAGGAGCCCTTTGGGCGGTGCCTTAGTGCGGGAGACACGAAACAGCGAGAATGCAAAAAACATGACAAAACAAACCAATGAAAATCAACGAGTTTGGCCTGTCGGGGCGCTGTTGGGTGGCATCTTTAAGGCCTCTTTGGGCGTCTTGGGGGCCTCCAGGGCGGTTTAAAACGCATCGTGAGTCGCCAGAGACCCCTGGACGGCGTCTTGAGGGTGTCTCGAGACCGTCTGAGGCCGCGGGATTTCTGTCTGAGGGCTTCCCGGGGAGATTTCAAGCCTCCCAGAGGCGGGCCCGGGCCTCGGGACCCACATTTGCGGTCGAGGCTCCGGCTGAGGCCCTAAGTGCTGCCAAGACTCCTCCACCAAGCCTCTGGCAGGAGGACGCCAATCGCGAGACGAAGCCAAAGCTACGCATTCGAACACGGACTCCTTGTAACCCATCAGCCTGTGGGTGGTCTTCGGTGCTCTTCTGTTGGTCTTCGGCCGCGTTCGACAAGGGGTCCGTGATCGAACATCTAAGTCAATGTGGCCTCCCGCACGACGACACTCGGCGACGCGTGGTGGCTCAAGCAGAGTCAGAACAGACAAGTGCATAACATGAGCTTTCGGAGCTCCGCGCAGACTTCTTGGATCGACTCTGGATCAACCATACTTGGCGCGCGGAGCGCGCCAGGGGCGGCGCCGGAGGCGCCGCCAAGGGGGTCCCCGGCGCCGATCCAAAAAATCCGCGCGGAGCGCTGAAAATTTATGCTTGTGCGGTACTTTCCTTCTTCGACAAGTGGCTCAACGCAGACCGCTGACGCGGCACACCACGCGGCCCGATCCGGAAGCTCCGAGCCCAAAGAGTCTTCGCCACCACTCGGCTACACTTAAGTGGCCCTGTGCAAGACCTGGGCCAAACCCGAGCGCACAGGACGCTGCTATCGTATGGTGCTCATCATCTGGGGACCCCAGAGTGCTCGCACCAGGTCGCTCCGACGAGCCGCTGCTGTCGCACCAAAGGTCACTCCGACGAGCCAAAGGTCACTCCGACAAAAGGTCACACAGACGAAAGGTCACTCCGACGAAAGGTCACTCCGACGAACCAAAGGTCAGTCCGACGAAGGGTCACTCTTAATTGCGTGTAGTCGGCACCTCTCTGGAGAGGGCGGCTATACACGCAAGAGTGACCCTGGGTGAGAAAGACCTTTGGTGCGCGGCTTTTGTGTGTGTGTGTGTGTGTGTGTGTGTGTGTGTGTGTGTGTGTGTGTGTGTGTGTGTGTGTGTGTGTGTGTGTGTGTGTGTGTGTGTGTGTGTGTGTGTGTGTGTGTGTGTGTGTGTGTGTGTGTGTGTGTGTGTGTGTGTGTGTGTGTGTGTGTGTGTGTGTGT